CCCCCCCCCCCCCCCCTCCCCCCCCCCTCCCCTCTCCCCCGGTTGGCAGAACCCTTTGATTAGAATGCGGTTCGCGTTTGTTATCCCGCAACAAGACTGACGTGTTATTATTGGTCGGCCGTGTGAGAGCTTCTTCCTACATTTATTTCCTTTCTCGCCCCCATCTACCCTGCAACAGCAGCACGCAGGCCATGGCGCACCCCGCGGCTCTCAAAACTATCCGACAAAAATATTCAGTGTACAGGCATAAACAGACCAAAAATAAGGTCAGCATCCAGCGGTCTTTCGCCCGCTCGCTTCAACACTTCCCTTCGGCTAACTGTGGTTGTAACGCCAACGGTGGCCTTCCTCAGATTGTACGCATATTTCCAAAACATCTGGATCTTTGCTTTCCCCATTGTATTCTATATCCTGTCTGGGAAACCGTAAACATACAGGTACTTTCTGACGCTATGAATTCATTGCTAATCTGTCTCAGACTCTTTTCTATGATAGAGATGGATTCGTTGTGTCATATTAAGAAAAAAAAAAAATCTGGGTCAGTCTGTCTTTGCCGCTCTTCTATCTTTGATCACCTGGCGAGCTCCGCCGGACTGACGCCCATCCACCCCTCCAGGAGCGGGTCGTTCATCGAGACCTGGTTCAGTCCCTTCACGAGCGCGTTCACCGGGAGCATCAGCACGTGCCTCCTCCCTCCCTTGCTGCTCGGTCCCATTTTGCCCGCCCGCGACCGGTCATCGAACAAAGAAAAAAAAAAGTGGTTACATACAATATATGCATATCTCGAACGAGTAGCCTTTCTTTCATTGTACGTGCATTTTCTATTCCATCTCCTTCGACTGCTGTGGTTATATCTCGAACGAGTAGTCTTTCTTTCATTGTACGTGCATTTTCTAACCCATCCCCTTCGACTGCTGTGGCTATATCTCGAACGGGTAGGCTTTCGTTGTTTGTATGACCTGCGTATTTTCAAGAGAAAAAAAGAGGTTTTCTTGGGGGTGAGAAAAAACCGAAAAAAAAAATCTGGGGCATAAGGTGGGGTGGTTTCCATGCATTCAGCATGGGAACTACTTGATGGTGCATCTACATATCTCTGACTGCCGTCGACTCCGCCGTCCGATCAGCAGCATGTAGATATTTATCTCCCCCCCCGGCTACACGATTGCTCCGTCTTCTCCAGGACGCGGGGTCAAGGTCCTGCAATACTGGGAACATTGCTCCGTCCTGTCGAGGACGCGAGGTCAATGGTCTAACAACTAAAGCATGCAACACATGAGCACCCCCCCCCCCCCCC